CTTCCCTCCCTCCCTCCCTTTCTTCCTCCTTACATTTTTTCCTTGTTTGTTTTTGAGTCAGGGTCTCATGAAGCCTATGCTGGTTTCAAACTTTCTGTGTAGCCTGCCATGACCTAATCTCCCCAGCCTACTGCCTCCACTTGTCACGGCTAGGATTGCAGGCTTGCACCACCACAATGATTTTCGCCATACTGAGGACCAAACCCAGGGCCCTACAAATCCCTGGAAAGCTTTCTGCTGGGAGAGCGCCATCCCCGCCCCTTCCTTCTCCTACATCCCAAGCACTTCAGCAATAGTTGTCTGCTCACCAGAGCTCAACCTTTTTCTCCGTCCACTGCCATTTTCTACCCTTCGCCCTACTTTGCCTCCTTGTTGACTGCTCAGCAGAAGAGCCCAGACTCATCGTCCTTGTTTTTAAGAAAAATTCCTCTATGCAGGGAATCAGTAAATATCTTTGTGAAGCAAGAGGCGGGAGGGGCCAAGTGGGGAGAATGGAAATGAGGTAGTTTATGTTTTTCCAACTTTTTCCAAATAAGTGTTATCTAGAAAAACAGGTGCACTGCTCCCTTCTCAGCCGCCTATTCATTAAAATGCTTTAATTACCGCCTGAACACTAGACAGGCAATTAAAAGGCAGTATTCAAACCAAAAATTTAAGGCACCCTCTTCAATCAGAGTAAAATTGTCTGATCGAGGAGCTAATTAAAAATGGAGTGTAGAGATTCCAGCCAGAAATTTTGTCTGAGGCCTCAAAAGCCCCCCGATTCTCTGTCCTCAGGCCCACACTCCTCTTTAGTAAGTCTCTGTGGTGTTCCTGGTGTGACATTGGCTATGGAGACTCAGTCAGAGCCTGTCGCCCAGAGAAAGGTACAGACAGCATGCCAACGCTGCGTGTGGGACAAACAGATGAACAAATGACTTTAGTGCGTAGGTATACATGTAAGAGTAAGCAGAGGTAATGGGAGTTGGCACCCCTGGGGACAGAGGGGAAGCCTCAATGTCCAGCATCCATCACACTGGGTCGGGGTCCATGGGGGTCATTAGGAAATCATGCTTCCTCTAAAGCTATTGTCTGCGTTCCCCCTCCCCCCCCAGAGCTAGGAACCAGTGTGTCTCCCAGTGAACTCTTGAAAAGGCATAGAGAGAAATGCAATTTGGGAAGCTGTTGGATGCTGGGAGAAGTGGCAGAGGTGGCTGCTCTTTCCCCCACAGAGTCTGTGTTGAAGCCCAGAAGCTGTGAGGTGTTCCCATGCAGGACTTGGGCTGTTGAGGAGGTGAGGTAACTAGTCCATGTTGCCCCTGGGAGCCAGCTCTTGTCCTGGGGTTTCCATGGCTGCAGGACAAACTCTGTCTGTGTCTCCTGGCCAGTGACACAGATTCAGCCTTCCGACCTCTTCATTCTAAGGACAATCATCCTCTTCTTGTTTTGCTTATCTCTTCCCCTAGCCTCTCTGTGGTGACCCCTGGACAACAGGTCAGCATTAGTGACTTCTCTGCATGCTTCTCTCATCAAGGTAGCTGTGTTCTGAGGAGACCGCCTCCCTCGTAGCTGTCTCTCTGGTGGGTGCTCTTTCACAGGCTGTGGGGCCAAGAAGTAGTGTTCACAGGCATCTTACTGCCTGCCACTACACCCATCCACGCTGTCTTTGCTCCTCCCACCCTCAGGAGCTCCAACACTTTGAAATGCATTCCTCTTTACAGTCTTAGCCCTTGGTGCAGCTGGCTGCTGCCTGCCCTGGCTGCCCTGCAGGCCTTTCTGCACATCACTCACACACACCCTCCTACCGTTCCCACCCCGGCATCTTCACACATCAGTATACTGCCTTCTTGGAGGCATCTTGGAAATGTGTGGCTTGTTCTCTCTCTCTCTCTCTCTCTCTCTCTCTCTCTCTCTCTCTCTCTCTCTCTGTATGTGTATGTGTGTGAGTATGTGAGTATGTGTGTTATTTTTTCCTTTTATTGAAAGAGGATTTTTTTCCTCACTTAATATATCTCAATTAAGATTTTCCCTCACTCTATTCTTCCCCATTCCTCCCCAAGTCCCTTCCCATCTGGATCCACCCCTTTCTGTCTCTCATTAGAGAACAGGCTTCTAAAGAATTATAATAAAATATAATAATATGAAAACTATCACATCAGAGTTGGACAAAACAAACAGAAGGAAAAGAGAAAACAATGACCCATTCATTCACACACTCAGGGATTCCATCAAAACACTAGCTAGATTGGAAGCCATAATACACACACACACACACACACACACACACACACTCGCACACACACACACACACACACACACACACACACACACACACAGGACCCAGGGTAGACCTGGGCAGGCCCTGTGTATACTGATTCAGTCTCTGTGAATTCGTATATGCATTGATCCTATTGATTCAAAGGGTTTTGCTTTCTTGGTGTCTTCCACCCCTGTTGGCTCTTTGCACTTTCCAGTCTGTGGGGTTCCCTAAGCCCTGAGGGGAGGGACTTGATGAAGAGATCAGGCCTGAGTGTTCTGTGTAATGTTTAATTGTGGGTCTCTGCATTTGCTCCCACGCTGCAGGAGGAAGCTCCTCTGGTGATAGCTGAGCAAGGCACTGACCATATTTGTCTTTCTGCAGCTGGGATCCCTCCCTCTGGATGATTTCTTTCCGTGTGGTTTGTTTCCCATTGCAGTTGGACCCTAGAACTTACATTGAATCCTTTATTGTTTTCTTACAAGTGACTTCCCCTTTTGTTTTCTATCATTACTTTATCTATTAAGGCAATGGTTGTCAAGCTGTGAGTCGTGACCCCTTTGAGAGGTCACATACCAGATACCCTGCGTATTAGATGTTAACATTGTGATCCATAACAATAGCAAAAAAAATAGCCATGAAGCAGCAACAAAATAATTTTATGGTTGAAGTCACAACAGGAGGAACTGTGTTAAGGGTCACATCACGAGGAAGGTTGAGGCATTGAACATATTAAGGCATTCCATTAATTAAAAACCACACATCAGCCGGGCGATGTTGGCGCATGCCTTTAATCCCAGCACTCGGGAGGCAGAGGCAGGTGGACCTCTGTGAGTTCGAGGCCAGCCTGGTCTACAAGAGCTAGTTCCAGGACAGGCCCCAAAGCTACAGAGAAACCCTGTCTCGAAAAAAAAAAAAAAAAAAAAAAAAAAACCACACACACACACACACACACACATCAAGCTTTTAATACCATATGATATGAACTTTTCTTCAGGATAGAAGGGATACTAAAGCATGCTTGGGAGATGTATATCAGAGCACTCAGCAAACTGTTTGGCTTGCAAGCAGGATGACCCTCAGTGGGTTCTGGGGATGCAAACTTAGGTCATGCATAGTAAGCACTTGGCCCACTGAGTCATGTCCCCAGCCCTGGTGAGAGATTTCTTGAATCTGATTATAGATGAATAGATGTGACAACGGAAGAAAGAGGGTGGAGTGGTGTAAGAGGGGGAAGCAATAACTGCTTCTAGAAGTTGAAAAAGTAAGGAAACATTCTCCCCCCAATCCTTCCGGAAGAGTAGGCCCTGACAGGTGACATCTGCACTTTAGCCCATGACCCTGACCCCAGAACCGTAAGAGAATGTCTTTATGCCACTTCAGGCCACCTACCACCTTCTGGACACGTACTGTGGCAGCCACAGTGAACCAATAGTCACCACCACCATCCAGATCCACATGCCAGCCCTGGGACTATCTACATCTGCGCGAATGGCACCTTCATCACCCAGCTAGGGCAGTTACTCAGATGCTTCCCTGTGCCCAAGGCTCATTTATCAGCAAATCTGTCAGCTCCTCCTGCAACCCACAGTCTGCCTCCAAAGGCATCTCCTTCCTCCACTGCTGTGTCCCTAGCACTGGCCACCCATTTTCAGCTTCAATTAGGGTGTCGCTTCCCGCTTAAGTTTAGATTTCTGTTCTTGCCCCTTTTGGAGCACTGGTGAATTTCCTTAAGAGCAAACTTATCAATGCCATTCCTCCTTCTAAGTCCCCTCAGGGGATGACAATTCATACTGGATAAAATCTAAGACACGATCAGAGCTGGAGCTCTGCCCCCCTTGTCCTCCTCTCTCCGCCTCTGTGTGCGTGTGCTGTGCTGGGCATGCCGGCCTCAGTGCCATGGCCTTTCTCTTCCCTCTTGCTAAGACGACTCCAAATGCTTACAGTCAAGGGCTATTTAACCCCACTTCATCTTCCTCCCAGCATGTGCCCGCACAGGAAAAGAATCTGGTTGGTTTATTTGCATACTTATATGTGCTTCCTCAGTTAAATGTGAGTTCTCTAAGGACAAGGCTTCCTGTCTCCGGCCCTGCAGGGTCCCAAGTGCTTTGCAAGGCCTCCAGTTGATGGCCATTTGCCTTGTGTGTGCCTTGTGTGTGGCCTGCTAGGTGTGGCTCGTTTCCACTGGCTCCCACTTCATTTGGCCAATATAACTGCAAGAATGCTCGCTCTGCCAGAGAGATTTGTCTTTCAGGAGCATAGGCTATGCAAAGAGCCAAGGAGTGAAGTTTCAGATGCCATTCAGCAGGATTGGACTGACCACAGGATTTCACTTAGGTTGCCTTTTAAAGGTGCACGATTCATTCAACACCTGCTAAGCACAGGGTGTCGTGAATACATAATACAACGAGGAAAAATATTTACATGATGACTTAACTGAAGAATCTGATTGTGTCAAGCCAAGAAGAGGGCAGGGTGGAGCAGAAGGAGGTGAAGGCACTTCATGTAGATCCTGACTATTTCATGACCTTCTTCCTTCTGGTGACTCACGGAGCCCAGGAACCCAGAGGGGCTCTGGAACCAAGTGGCACGGAGCTGGAAGGCAAATTTGGGATAAAATCAACACAGTGAAATAGCATCTTCTCCAGTGCGTGAGTGCATGTGTGTGTGTGCGTGCGTGCGTGTTCGCAAGTCAAGGAAGTGGTGGCATTCGCCTACAGCCGCTGACCCTCTGTGCTTAGCCGTTGTCTTCTCTTCCTGCTAGGTCTCATCATCCACGAAGGACCCTCGGTATATCGCATCTTTAAGCGCTGGCAGGCTGTCAACCAGCAGTGGAAAGTGCTGAACTATGACAAGACAAAGGACTTAGAGGATCAAAAATCAGGAGGCAGGACAAACCTACGGACTTCCTCATCAACCCAAGCCAATATCCCCTCCACGGAAGAGGAGGTAGCCAGCCCCCCAGCCCGTGAGGACGGCTCCACCAGGGCCTCCAGCCATCCCTCAGACCCTGTGTCCCAACACCACTGTGCTTACACCATTCTGCACATCCTGAGTCACTTGAGACCTCATGAACCGCGGAGCCCGCAGGGCAGCAGCCGAGAACTCGTCATGAGAGTCACCACGGTGTGAACCGAGGCTGGGAGGAAGGCTGAGACTGCACACACCACACCGCAGGAAAGAGGCTGGGCCAGGAGGGGCCCAGGGAGCAGGGATGGGAGGCAGAAATCCAGCAGTGGGTGGTGGGCCTCGGGGGAGCTGGAGCAGAGGGGAGCAGAGGGGAGGAACCTGGAGCAGAGGGGAGAAGCCTGGAGCAGAGGGGAGCAAAGGCGAGGCTGCCCGCTGGAGCCTGTTGGTTTCACAGCAAGGGAAAACCAACACAAACTCCACAACAGTGGGTGGGACAAACGGAACCTGCCCCAAGGAAACACTCCTCCCTGGAGAGTGACAAGTAGCAAGGCACCCAGGAAAGGTTGGGCAGAAAATAGTGGCCGGTACCTGAGGTACCTGATGTACCTGTGGGTGAAAGGGCAACAAAGAGAAACAGCCAAGGGCACCCAGGGAAGGGCTTTTGTAATCCACACTTCTCTCTCAGCCTTGGGTTTGCTCCTCCCTGGGTGATGCTTCCCAGCACTGGGTGCCCCAAGGGAGAGAGTGGGACCTTGTGAGCTTGTACCCCTACCATGCTTGATGGGGGCCTCTGCACTCAAATGGCTTTATGGACCCCCAAGAGATGGTTCAGGAAGGGAGCTGTTGACATGACTGGCCAGAGAGAAGGGAATGCCTCCTTCAGAGAGAACTTTCCCAGCTGTTACTACAAGTGTCCTTTGAGCTCAAAGGCCGCTGAGGTTTAGAGATGGGTATCTTCTGTTCCTTGTTTGTTTTATGGTGATTTGGTTCAAAGATGTTTACGGGATGGAGGACTCGCGCGCGCACACACACATGCGTGCATATGTGTGTGTGTGTGCGTGTGCAGAAGGAAGTATGGACTTCTCGTGAGTATCTGAAGCTCACATCTGCTGCTATGGATTAACCTTCAAATGTCAGGCCAGGGACAATTCTCCCCGTTACTGAGCCCTACCCACAGCCAGGATAATGTAGTACCATGTCCTTTTGACCTTGGCATTTACAACGGCAGGCACACACATGCGCGTACAGACATACACACATTCGCGCATACACACATACACATGCATACAAACATGCACACATACAGATGCACACATACATACAGACATACACACATACACGGCACACACACACATACACATGCATACAAACATGCACACATACACATGCACACATACACACCTGCACACACATACATACACACATGCATGCATATGCACACATGTACACACATACACACACATACACACGCACATACACACACAGACCCTGCTACCTGGTTTTGCAGTATGGGGTAATGCTGGCTTGTGTTATCTCAAGGAAGGAGTGAACAGCGATCTAAGTATTCCTGGTGGCTTGGCACTGGTACTCTCCTTAAAGAGGCAGTTTGTCTTGTGCTCAGTGCTATGTGCACCTTGGTCCAGCTTGTGCAGCCAGTCAGGGAGCACTGTCTTAGGAGCCCATCTGTGTGATCTGGGATGTGATCTGGGGCCCTTCCAGGCAAGGCCACTGGGTGGTCACCTGCAGAGTTCCTTACTGTCATTGCACAATGGAAATGCCATCCTTGGGTATTAAATGGACACTGTCAAGTACTTTTTTAAACTAGTTTTTAGGGTTTTTTAAAACTCTCTGTTATTTGTAATATTCTCTTAAAAGCTTGGAAATAAATTTTCTTTCCCTACCGCTCGTGTCCCTTTCCCATGTTTTCTTCTTTTCTCCTTGTCCTCCAGTGAGAGCCACTGTGCCTTGTGTAGACGGTGTGTGTATGTGTGTATATGTGCATGTGTGTGTGTGTGTGTGTGTGTGTGTGTGTGAACCAGACATTAGGGCAGACAGGATGCTGCCATCAGTATGCATCCATGCATGTATTGATACATAGGTACACATGGGGCATGTATGTACATGGTGTGCACGTACAAACCTACATCAAAACACTGATATTCCTGGCTTTTTTTTTTTTTCTTCTTCTTAGCAAATGGATTCTATCAGGCCAAACCAGGACCACTCTCCAACTTTTCCCAGGTTACAGTCCAAGAGTCCTAGAAGTATTAGTACCAGAAAAATCTTAGGGAGCTCCACCCCAGCAGGTCCATTTCAAAGAAGCTGAGAGACTGTGAGGAGTGGGGGGTAGGACCAGGTTTCCCTGAACACTTTCCTTTGAGGGTCAGAGAACAGCCTCCAAACCAGGGCCAGGGAAGGCTTGGGCAGATCTCAAGTGCAGGGTCCTGACCAGTCCCTCCTGCCTTGAGACTGACAGCGGTCAGGCAGCATCACCAGTGGGACACGCAGCACGCATTAGCCATTAGTAATGATAGTTGGAAGAGTAGCCGCTAGCAGGAGGCTCCTTGGCAGGGGAGTACTTTGCCAAGATTACTTCCCAAAGAATCTTACAACCCAGTGACTTAGAAAACATAAAACTAAAATGAAACCCAACACTGCAACTAAGCTGTCTCAGTCGAAGGGTTTGAAGGGCTGGGGCTCAGTTGGTTGGGTGCTTGCCTAGATGCACAAAGCCCTGGATGCAATCCCCAGCACTGCATACAGCAGGTACAATTCCACATGTTTGTGTATTCCCAGCTTTCAGGAGACAGTGGGAGGAACAGGAGTACAAACTACACAGAGTTCAAGGCCCACCCTGGATACATGCAACACTATTTGAAACAACAACAAAAAGTAAAAACAAATAAAGGAAGGGTTGGGGGTCTCAGTGTGGTTCAGAACAGGTCATTTAACCTAAATACTTAAGAAAACTGCAGCTCTCTGTTATGTGGATTATCTTCTTTCAAAATAGTGTTCACATGTAGTGGTCTCTGCGTATCACCAGAGCTAGGAGACTACCGTGCTCTCCCTGTGAGTCACAGGGCGCCTCAGTGTCTTATGGTTACTAGGGGATTGAAGAATCATCATTCCGATGTGTTGTACTGAAAGAGATTCAACTGATGAGAAACCTCATAGGATGCTGGACTTTGGGATGTCTCGGTGCTGCAAGCTTAAGACAGAAAAGCCCTGAGTTATCTCGTTGATTGCTATCCAATCAGGGCCTAGAGCAGGGCCCGGCACATTGTGATGTTCAGTAGATTCTTCTGAAAGAGGAAGGCAGTGCTGGAGAGGAGAGGTACTCCCTACGTCAGTACCCAGCTGACATGGTCCCTCTTCTTTCAACATATACTCTGCCTGTCAGGACAATTACAGGGTAGAAAGGAGAAGTCAGACTGGCTTTGCCCAACAGAATGATAAATTCCTCCTCCCTCAGGGAGCAGCGTTTATAGGTACCATGAACAAGATAAGATGTTACCTAACATCCAAAGATCTTACTATACACAAGGCAGCAAATTAAATGTTTGAGATATAGCAATCAGTATTACAACAACCCAGTCAGATAGATGTTATTGCTATCTTCATTCTACAGATGTGGGCTCTTAGTATTCCTGCCTAGGTAGTCTGGCCGGAAACATAGCTACCCCACCGTGCTTCCCCAGACAGCTGGAGGCACTGAAGGGAAATTTGCATCCAGCTGGTACAAAGACACCATCACAGTAGAAGTCTGCAAGAGAAAATGTGGAGATTGTGGAAGTTGGGGCTAAACAAAAATAAACATTCTTGTCTCTTCTGGGGAGGGGGGCAATGCAGAATTTATCTAAAAATCAATCCCTGATCTTATCTAGACAATATCGTAGTTGAATGGGAGCTCATATACATTAAAGAATTAAACATGTCTTGGAACTAGGGGATTTTGAAAGGTCAGTGGATGTAGTTAAAACACACTTTCATGAGCAATCGGCTTGGTTTTATGTGGAATCTGAAAAAATAAAATAAATTATCCATCTGGACCTGGATTTTTGACTTTGGTTCCCAAGGACTGACAGAGCGGCAGGCTGAGGTTCCTAGCCACAGTCACACGTAGGAGGGTGCTGCTTATATGAGAGGATTGCTAATCCGTATTCGAAGCCTGCAACTATTATTGATATAACTATAAAATAATTCTCTGGAGAGAATCAGAGATCTGTTGCCACCTTGGAGCACAGAAACGCTAAAGTCACACAAGTGTTTGACTAAAATAATCAGATCACCTCATAGCCCCGAAGTTCCTGCTATTTCTTTGTGTTGTTCTGTGGCCCAGCTAGGTCGCTGAGGGTGGGAGAAAGATTTGATATGACAGTAACCAACCCCTCGGGGTACCGATGTGTTCTCTAAACAGGATTCGCTCTATTGTACAGGAGAGAAGGGAAGGAGAAAAAAAAAACATATTTTTCACTTTCCCCTCATCATCTCATCTCAAATTACTCCAGTTATTAGTATCAAATGGTCAAGGAGTATCTTACCCATGAGGGTCTGACCCAGTAGCAGAGATGTAGTCCTAAAACCTTTTACCCACACAGCCCTCTCTCACTCTTACAGGCAGAATGATGGACAGGGATCTGAAAAGGCTTGTGTGCCGTACACAGTTGAGGGCAGCTCTAAGATGGCTCAGATGGTGAGGATGTAGGCCTGGCCTCGCTGTGGTTCTGAGCCTAGAGTCTGAGCTGCATTGTCGGGTGCCAGCTGGCCGCTAAGAACACACTGTCCTCCCTCCCTCATCAGACCTCAGACACGCCTGGTGTCCTCTGAAGGCAGCCTGTCTTGGAAGGAGAAGTCACTTTGCTGGACTTTCAAAAAGTAGACTTGACTTGGTTCTTGAACCTGGACCATTGAGACGCGTTCCCTCCTCTTAAATGTGCCACTAATAACCGCATGCCAGCATGCCCAGTATCACGTCCAGTTCTAAGCCAGAGCTCAGCAGCCGTTGGAGGTGGGGATGAGGAGGGCTTATCGTTGCAGAAGGAAGCTGGCCCACCCTGTGCCTAATACCCTTTAAGCTTCAGATAAAAAAATCCTAAACTCAAGAGACTCTTCAGTGCCCTCAGAGTTGCTTCCCAATCTGGTGCTCTGCTGACCAAGTTAGCGAGGAAAAGGTGGAACCTGGCCCGTGGCATCGAGGTACAGAACACTGCCGTGGCTCTAGAACCCTCAGGGTCCTCACTGTGGAAAGGGGGCAATCTGTCTTTGAATCTATTAAACAAGAAAGCCATTGCCCAAGATCTGTGTGGTTT